ATAAAAACGTACAGTAGCTCCTGGGACGTATATGGTGCTCCCCAGAAATGTATATAGAGGTATGTAATCAGAATGAGCCTGGGTTGCAACAATTAAGTTGTCCCCTCAAAGAGGTTCAAGAATTGTGTTGATTGAGCTCATTTTAAATAAGTAGTTTGAACAAGTAGCACAAATCTTTTTTAAGTTAACTTTAGTGGTTTGTTTCCTGCATGTTATTACGATATTTGCTGTTTATTATGACTTCTAAAGTATGATCTTATTCTACACCCCTAATCTAATCGCTAAACCCAAGTACTACCTTACTATCTATTAATAAGCAGCTAATTAGTAGTTTATTAAGCTAAACATCTTAGATTAATGATTTGTTAACAGCACGAATTGTATCTTAAAATAAAGTGTGACCTCTATATAGCAGATTATTTTGTTTTATTATTATTTTAGCTTAATTGATTATGCTAGTATTCACATTATTGTGTGTGTACTGTTTTTGTGACATATCAGGGCACATATGTGTAATGTCATTGGTGTGATGCATGCATTACAAAAAGATTGGTGATGTCCCTATTTTTTGATGAGCTATTTTCCCCCAGAAAGTAAAACTGCACTCCTGTTAATGTCATAGGTGTAGGGTTGGGGTAGGACATTAAATAATATGGGTTGTGTAGCATTAAAACAATGGAAACCTATGGAATGTCCCCACAAATCCGAAAAACAAAAGTATTGTGTGAAAAGCCAATTGTAAATCAGAGAACAAAGTGCATTAATGAAAATGATCAGTAGAGGGAGAAAAACAACACACAACACTGCTTTAATAATCAGAATGCATTTGATTTCTTTAGTTGTGTCACATAGACTCCGGTTTCCCCACAGTCCAAAGACCTGCGGTACAGGTGAATTGGGAAGGCTAAATTGTCTGTAGTGTATGTGTGCGTGAGTGTGTGTGGATGTTTCCCAAGGATGGGTTGCAGCTGGAAGGGTATTCGCTGCGTATAAGTTGGCGGTTCATTCCGCTGTGGCGACCCCGGATTAATAAAGGGACTAAGCCGAAGAGAAAATGAATGAATGATGAGTTTTGTCACATATCTCTTCACTTACGCATGTGCCAGTTTGGGATTTGGTCTCAGTTTAGAGCAGCTTTGGGAATGTCGTCCGCTTGTACACAGTACATGTATTAAGTAAAGGAGTCCCACTAGGGGACATACTTTGTATAGTATTAGTTTGAATTTTGTATATTTTTTTAAAGAAAAAATAGGACTCACAATGTTTTGGAAAGCCTGACTTTTAAAAATGGGTTAGGAGGACCTCTGGAGGAAACTTGTTAATTATCAGGCAAAAAGGAATTAATAAAAAAACTCAAATATAATCGCAATTAAATCAAAAAGTTATGAAAATTTATTGGAAAGAAGTGTTAACATTTAAGACCTTTTTGGAATTCTATAATTTGATTATTAGAAGAATTTGATTAATATGTAAATAACTATTAAATGAACAGAAAAATCTGGTTAATAATATAGATATCTATCTAATATCTAAATTATTTTAATTATCTTAATTAATATAAAAACTACAAAAAAAAAATAAAGTGAAGTAAAGGCTGTCGAACACTGACACCTACTGTAAGTTTATAGTTACAACATGCGTTTTTACCTTATAATGCTTTAAACATTCATTCATTCATCTTACTCCATATTAATCTGGGGTCGCCACAGCGGAATGAACTGCCAACTTATCTGGCATATGTTTTACCCAGCGGATGCCCTTCCAGCTGCAACCCATCTCTGGGAAACATCCATACACACTCATTCACACACATACACTACGGACAATTCACCTGTAACGAATGTCTTTGGACTGTGGGGGAAACCAGAGCACCCACACGAACAGGGGGAGAACATGCAAACTCCACACAGAAACGCCAGCAGCAGAGGCTTAAACCACCGACCTTCTTGCTGTGAGGCGATAGCACTACCTACTGTTCCACCGCATCGCATGCTTTTAAACATTTGAAACGTAAAGACATATTAGTGCACATTTAGGTCTCTGGTGTTTCAGGTTTGGCGTTTTTCCTGATTATTTTTATTTGTTTTATACAAATTATTCACCATAAATCACTGAAGTTTGTAAAATCTTTTTTCTAAAATAGAATTCACCTTTTCAACTTTACAACTTTTTATGATTGCATTATTGATAGGTAGACATATGATAAATAAGTACATATACACTGGGAAAAACTTGTAAAACACAATGACCACTAAATTTAATAGGACTTTAATACTGTACAATATTAATTAATAATAATAATAAACTTTATTTGTATAGCACTTTTCCAACATACATGCAACTCAAAGTGCTTCACAAACAACAACAAAAGCATTAAAATAGACCACAAAAACTTATCACATATACTGAAATAAAAGCATTCATGTACACAAAATGTAAGTATATATCCACATGATCACACACACAATAGTCCTTACATATGCAGGCACACACCATACATAACATACATAAACCTACAACAAAATAGATAAAATGCGTACACCTAACAAACTTGTTTAATCATACGCAATTTTAAAAAGATGTGTGTTAACATGCTTTTTAAAAACATGAATACTTGGAGATTCTTTCACTTCAAGGGGGAGACAGTTCCAAATTTTTGGAGCATAATGGCTAAAAGAAGTGCCGCCAGATTGCATCAGGTTTACAGGATAAAATTCTAAAAGTCCAGCACTAGAAGAGCGTAGTAAACTGTTTGGATTATATTTTGTTAAACAGTCGGAAATGTAGGAAGGTGTCATATTGTGTAGTGCTTTAAAAACTAATAAAAGAATCTTAAAATCTATCCTTTGGTGCACAGGCAACCAGTGTAATTCTATTAATACTGGTGTAATGTGCTCTCGTTTCTTTAGTTTCATTAAAACTCTGGCTGCTTAAGGGTTTTCACAATGGTGCAGTGGGTAGCACGATTGCCTCACAGCAAGAAGGTCGCTGGTTTGAGCCCCAGCTGGGCCAGTTGGCATTTCTGTGTGAAATTTGCATGTTCTCCCCATATTCGTGTGGGTATTCTTCGGGTGCTACAGTTTCCCCCACAGTCCAAAGACATGCAATATAGGTGAACTACATAAACTAAATTGGCTGTATAGTGTCTGAATGTGTGTGAATGAGTATGTATGGATGTTTCTCATCCCCTGCATAAAACACATGCTGGAATAGTTGGCGGTTCATTCCGCTGTGGTGACCTCTGATTAATAAAGGGAAAATGAATAAATGAATATTAATTGAAATTATAAAAGGAAAAAACATTATATAAAACAATATATATATATATATATATATATATATATATATATATATATATATATATATATATATATATAGATTACATTATTTTTTTACATATACAACATGTAAAAAATATCACGTGCTGCTCAATCCAACGCTTTCTTTGAGAAATGGTGGGAGAATGATAAGAAATGAAGGAGGATGTTATGAAATACAAAATGTAAGCATTAAATATGTAGAGATAAGAAGACATCCTAATGACAAGACTGAGAGTGGCTCACTCAGGACTAAACAACACCTCGTTTCTAATGGAGAAAAGGAATAATGAAAGTTGTGGAGTTAAAGAAAAGGCAGAGCATGTTGTTTTACAATTGAAAATGACAGAACTTTTACTGTATGTAAAGATAAGAACAGATGAGAAGAAATCATAATAACAAGACTGAGAGTGGCTCACTCAGGACTAAATAACATTTTGTTTCTAGTGGGGAAAAGCAATTATGAAAGTTGTGACAACTGTGGAGTTAAAGAAAAGGCTAAGCATGTTACTTTACAGGGGTGACATGGTAACTCAGTGGTTCACCTCACAGCAAGCTCACTGAGTCTGTAGGTAGGCCTATTTCTGTGTTTGCATGATATCCACATGTTCACGTGGGTTTCCTCCAGGTGCTCCGGTTCCCCTTAACAGTCCAAAGACATGCGCTATAGGTAAATTGAACAAATGAAATTGTCCATAGTGTATGAGTGAGTGTGTGAATGTGAGAGTGTATGGGTGTTTCCCAGTACTGGGTTTCAGCCGGAAGGGTGTATAAAACACATGCTGGAATAGTTGGTGGTTCATTCTGCTGTGGTGAGCCCTGATAAATAAAGGGACTAAGCTAAAGGAAATTAATGAATGAATTTTATTTTACAATGTAGATGAGATGGAAAGACAAGAATTAAAAAAAAAAAAGTCCAGGAGGCAGGACGGGAGTGGAATTTAAGGATGATTTTGGGAACAGAAGGAGAAAGAGAAGCAATAATAAACACTAGGAAAGCACTAAAATATAGGGTAAATTTGGGTAATCTGGAACACCTTAGCTTCAGTGTGTTTATTTCTGTTCTAACACAATTTAGACAACGGGACTTTTATTATAAATTTAGCCTGGACTTCATATGAGTGAAATCACATGACTTCATTAGGGTGCAGGGCACTGGTCAATCAAGAAGCTGTCATGAAAATTGGATGACAAGGTCACTGACAGGATTCTGACTAGATTAATGTTAAGGACATGAACCTGTCATAAATAAAACAATGTTTTCAATAGTTGTCAGATTATGTTTGTGATCTATTCAAGTAACTAAATATTTATTAAAGTGTTGAAAAAAAAATATATATATATTTTTTTTAGATTTTTTTCTTTCTAACATTTTTGTCGTCCCACTTTATCAGATATAATTGACAATGTGGCACAGCATGGTTCAGATAATAGGGCACAGTCTTTGAATAGAATAAATATGCATTTAGAGACTTTATAAGTTTAATGATAAGGGCTAATATATATGATATACAAAATTAACTAACAGAATGACGTGATGTTACTGTTGTACAGTAGGTGGCGGTAATCAACTAAAACTTGTTTGGAATCCGCCATTAACCAAGAGAAGAAGAAGAAGGACGCTTTCATTGGCTGTTCCGAGGCGGGAGTTTTTGTTTGCCTGTCATTCGTCATAACTTTTCCACCTATTTCATTTCTGCTCTAGTTTTTACGAACACGGACAGCAAACACGCTTTTCTGATACTGGCTTTTTGCATCACAGGAGTGTTTTTTAAAAACATTTACATCAATGTACGGTTTGAAAAGAGGTGTTAGTGACATCTAAGGAGCTGGCAATTGGATTACCGTCGTTAGCCGATTTATTAGACAACAACTAACTTAACTTACTGTCAAGGGGCGCTTCTCGTGCACGTTCACCCGCGAGTCAGCTTAATCCGTGCTCGCGCTTGTCTCTTTCATCGGTCAACCTCAGAGGCATAATGAGCCAGTAAACACGGAAACTTCGTAGAGATAGTTTTTATAGATTCACTTAAATATGGACAACTACCGCCAACCAAGATATGAAGGCTCGAGTCAAGGAAGAGAGAATAAATTTAACCGCAAGAAAGGATTTGGAGTCGGAGTGTCATCTCAGGGCGGTTCAAGTGGGGATGACGGAGAGAAGAAGCCTAAATTTGTAAGTTACACTCATGGATATGTATTTCTTTGGTTGTTATTTCTGGTTATTAGTTTGTTTCCACACGGACACTGTTTCTGACAGGCCTCCAACGTTAGCTTTGAATCACTTACTAGTTGTTTGGTGACATTAGTGGTAACTTGCAAGTAAAGTTGGTTTTATATTCACACATTCGGATATTCTTCTTAATAATATCATTTCAGAAAAGAAATATTTGCAAATACTAATTAGGGAGATCATATTAGCAGCCAATGCTATATATATATATATATATATGCAAGATGCAAGATGCAAGTATGATTTCAAAACAACATTAGCAGCACTATTTTACTGACTGTGAAGAATATATATATTTACTATTTATATATAATAAAATATGGCGGCTAATGTTGTTTTGAAATCATACTTGCATCTGATTTCAGACTGAAAATTCAAAGTACCATGGTAAACAATATAGAGAACATGTCACAAGCTGTCACTGAACGAATGTGTAAAACCAACTATACTTCAATGTACAAGCCCACCTACCAGTATTTGAGACAAGGGTTTCTTATGAATGAACTACTTTATATTAAGGGTAATTGTCTTTTAGTGCAATGTTTTTCTTTCATAGTCACACAATATAGAGTGATAAATTGAGTACACTCCATTATGCATGAATATTTGTATCCATTTCTCAGTGACTATTAGTGCATTTAAGCAAAACAAATTTATTAAACGGATATATTTATTGAAATAATATTTTAGTCACAGAACATCTTTAGAAATGGAAAGATATTACAATTAAATTTATGCAAAATATTGCAAAAAATATTACAACCTACAAAATTTCAAGTAAAATTTTCTTTTTTTTGCTTCTCTTGCATTTTTTTCTTTTTAAAATTTGTATTTATTATTTTTATATAACAAATTAGTTTTTGGAGCGTTATCATACGTTATTTTGTTAGATGGCTTCAGTACTGACTAATCTAATGAAAATGCACAAAATAATATTGCGTAGCTTCCTTTTCAAAATATGAATTTAAAAGATAGACTTGTGAGGGGTGTACTTACTGTATGCTGAGCACTGTGTGTTGCCTGTCACTGTATTGGTCGACAGTGTTTGATAATTTTTATAAATATTGACAAAACCGTATGATTTCTAGTTGGGCTGCACCCTATTTGAAAAATGTGACATTCCGATATTTTATTTTCCTGCGATATACCATATTTATACAATTTCACCAAATGATTGAATCCCACTTTTTACCAAGAATTTATAGTCACACTTTATTTAAAAGTTCAATTCTCTTTTAGCAAACCATTAAATATGACTTTTTCAATAAACTTTCAATAAACTCCTAATTTGCTCATTAATAGATATTTAGGTATTGGATTAGTGATGTAGAATAAGATCAAACAGGAAATATAGGGCCAGACAGAATCTTTTTAGAATTTTTCGCTAATTCTGGTAGTTAATAATAAGAATTGTTATCAAATATATTAATTTTGATTAATTGGCGGTGATTCTGTAGGGGAGAGAGTCATGCATAAAAAAGTAATAAACAAACTACAAGCATAGATGAATGAAATAAAGTAAAGATAAAAGTGAAATAAACAGTGCATGCTTTATTGTTTTGTAGATGTAAATGTAAAAACTTTACATACCAAAACAAAGCGTTACCAAAGTCCCTTTAGGCAAGTAATTTCACTCGGCGACCATTTTTAAAATGCCTCTTGAGCAGTATGCTCGGGCATTCGGTTTTAATGGTGAAACATCAAATTCTCAATAATTGCCTGTCAAGCTTACGATTACATTTCATATTATGAAACAACAATTACATTATGCAACAACTGTGTCTTTGGTTTCATTTCTAAACATTTGAGTCACACAAAATCTGCAGAAATTCACATCTGGTCCAAAGCCCTCCCCCGCAGAAATATCAGTCTGTAGCGAACGCTCATTGGTTCTTGTACTAGAAGGCAGGCTTTATTCACCATATAGCAATCACTGATTGGCTCCTGTACTAGAAGGCGGGGCTTCATTCACCAAGTTGATAGTTACACTTTTCCCCATTCAAAAGATTACGAGTGACGTGTTGTTTATTCTATAGTTTTTGGCGTTACATATCAATGCGATGTGACTATTGTGGATGCACGCGTTGCGATATCAATGCCTTAAAGAAGTATTGCAGCCCTAATTTCCACCAAGATATTTCCTGTATAGCAAATAAGAAAAAAACGTCCAAACGTCTTAAATATAAACATGGATCTCCAATCAGATTAAATGTGAATAGGTTTTTATTATAACGTTACTCTGTTCTTTATTTATAAGATGTTTGTTCCTGTATGAAAAGTCAAAATTTTTTTGTAATGTTGAGTTGTCATTGTCAAAACATGGTAAATGTGATGGTATTAAATTAATATTCAAATTAATAATAGATTTTTCCATTTTTAAAAGCAAAAACTAGCCTGGTATCCTACAAGAATTTCAATGTTATTGTAAATACCCCTCACCTGCACTGTATGTTAACATAGGTTTTATGTATGCATCTGCATTATATATATATAAAAAAACTGTTTAAATTATTATTTGTCTCTTTAACAATCAGATGTACATTTTATTCAAATTAAAGACAGTTTAGAGATTTCTGTGTTTGAATGGATGGATCTTGTAGGCATCAGAGACTTTGTTTTGTTGTTGTTGTTGTGTTTAAACAGACAGCAGAGAGACAGACCGATAAAAAAACACCCACACACATTGAACCCCTCTTTCAATGTTATTATCTTGGTTGATGCCAATGCTCAATCAAAGGATAAAATTAGCTCAGGGATAAGACAGAATAATCCAGTTTTGCTTTAGTGCTGGTTTAGGAACAGTAGATTTTCTAGATGACCACCCGCTATGATGAATGACTCTGTGCCAAATTCAAATAATGGGCTTTGACGTCTGTAAATATCACCATGTGGATTACTGTAGGTTGGAGTTTTACAAACAGTTTAATGCCAGGATCTTCCTAAAATATCACCGCAGCGATATATATAATTCAGATGGTAAGATTGGTTATATATTTTAAAGAAGTCTCACTCTCTTATGTTACATTCACACTTGTTGCTCAGATTAGGCATGTGCCGGTATAATGTTTTGAATGTATGAAACCTTGTATAAAAATATGGTTTCACGGTATCAGGGTATTGTGACTATACTGCTCTAAAATATTTTCTTTTTAAACATCTGGGTAAAATTGCGACTTTTTATTCTCATTGAACCCAATATATTTAATTTTAAGAAACACTTCTGCTGAAAGAGACTTAAGCTGCCTTCATTGGTTTAAAATACACAGATTTCTTTACAACTTGAAAAAGGCATCTTTGGATTTCTTTCTTTTTTTGGATATAACGTAAGCTGCTGCACTGTTCAGCTCAATATCATGCTTGGATGTTGGCACATAAGTGATTTGTTTTTCGGATGTTTTCTGAATCGTGGGCTGACCAGTATATTTTAATATAGAGGGTCTTTTTCTGCTGGAGATACTGTTACCCTAAAAAATAAATAAAAAAACAAAAAAAACAAACACAATTTACATATACCTCAAGATTGGCATATGTATTACAGCATATTTTTGCAGTTTTAAAACCTTGACTTTTCCAAACCGCGGTAAACCTTGAAACTGATTATAGTCTTATGCCTAGTTCAGATCTTTATGTTCATTACTTTTTTATAAACCAGAAAAGAAAATTTAGTGTTCACAAAAATTTATTTTCGAACCCAATTTGTTTTAAAAAGATACTTAATATCTTATAAAAAAATAAAAAATACTTAATTTAAATCTTTAAGTCCAAAAAATGTTTTTATTAAATAACTTGCTCAATCCAGCAGCAGGAATGTCTTGTTGTTTTGATTGGTATAGATGCCTTTTGATTGGTATAGATGCCTTTTGTTCATATGTTGAGTTCATATTTCTGTCAAACTGCTTCAAAATTAGTTTGAGAGGCCTAGATTTTCAGCAGTTTTGTGCAAACAAAGGTTTGGATTGTCATTAGCTCAGAAGCATTGTTTTAGAAGTTTGATAATGTCTGTAGAATGGTGGCACGATTTTTGAAAAATCAGACATTGCGATATTTAATTTTCATATTGCGATATGAATATTGTTTCCGCAGATTTAGTTGAATAGCTATATTTGGAATGAAATCATTCATTTAGATTGATTTGAATAATCTTGTAGCGCAGTGAATTAATTAAATTGCGAGCATGAACAAGATGAGCTAGGGCGAGGCGGTTTGGCCTAAAATCTAAATCTTGATTGTTATATGAACATTTTAACTCTATTACTATAAATCAGTGGTCACCAAACTTGTTCCTGGAGGGCCGATGTCCTGCAGAGTTTAGCTCCAACCCTAATCAAACACACCTGAACAAGCTAATCAAGGTCTTACTAGGTATACTTAAAACATCCTGGCAGGTGTGTTGAGGCAAGTTGGAGCTAAACCCTGCAGGGACACCGGCCCTCATGGACCGAGATTGGTGACCCCTGCTATAAATGAACGATTATTTTATTGAATTATTTGATGTTTTTGCCCTCATAGTTCACTGACAAGTTTTGTACAATAAATATGCTCAAATAATACAAGCAAGAGATTTTTTATTGTAGAGTGGATTATTTGATTTAAAATAATTGTTAAAGTAAATGCAAACTTTCTACTATCTATGATTATTTATTGAACATCAATGCTGAACCACTGAACACACATTGTCTAAAACGTGGCTCTCCGCGCTGCCCACCAATGTCACTGATACCAAACCGACCAATCATAAAGCTTGTTCTGTGTGTCGTTGTGACATGTAGTTAGATTTTGTTGAGAGGTGTGTGTGTGTTTGAGAAAGCTGCGTCAGACCGTATGTGCACGCATGCGCTTGGCAGAAGTATAATGTCAGAATAACATAAGTATAAATTAGCTTTGACGAAGTGGGGTCACTTGACTCCACACACTGTAGAGAGAGTAAACGGAAAAATTGACCT